CATGCCTCCTGGCTCTTCACGGGCAGTTGATGCCATCTTTTCAGGAGCCTAATGGTGTCTCCTCCAACATTTTAGACTGAGATTTTTATGATGTAAATTCACAGCCTGCTTTGTTCCTCTACATTAAGGCAGAGTCTTCAGGAGGTTTTCATATTAGAGCACTAGGACTTTAATGACTTCTTTGTTTTTGAGGAACCGTTTTCTTCCTCTGGTGCTCAGACTGATTGTCTCACTAAGGGAGGGACTGTGTGACTGCTCATGCTCTATCATAAGACAAGAGATTTGGTTTTCTAGATGAGTATGTTCTTTATTTCTGCTCAAGGGGCAGTCTTACATGTCAGCTGTCCAAATAACCTCTCTTGTATAAAACATGAGAGAATTATCAAATCCCTCTGCCACACTGCCCTGGAAGTGGCAACTTTTAAGTTATGAAGATAAGGAGAGGGGTTGAGTTTCTGCCCATGTATTATGAGAAGCATAATAGATGTGTAACATCTGATTATTCAGTGCCAAGATCCCACCAAAACTTGTATGGAACTTTTCCACCTCTTCAAGTGACTTTACACATGAGCAGTCTCTTCCAGTGTTGAAGCCTTTCTGCCATCTGTGTCAATTAGGTCTCTTATATTTACACCAAAGATCGACCGAGACAACTGTGTGCACATGCCAACTCAACGTTCTATCTCTTCTGGAAACACCTGTGGTTTGTCCAAACTCAGGGGAAAATGTGTGAATTGTACTGATTTGGGTGGGGCAGTTGCTAAGCTGTTTTTTCAGTCCTGGAAGAAGAAGTTGGAGCAAGGTATCAAGAACATAGACTGGCATGGAGTAAGGACATCCATGTAAGTTAAGTAGAGGGCATCTAAAAGAGAGATTGAGCAAATATTGCTGTCAGATGCTATCAGAGAGGATTGGAAAAAAAAACTGAGCATATATCCTGATTGCAGTCATTGTACAGTCTTACAGGTGGCAAATTTATATGTGTGAGAAATAAAGATTCGATTTTATTACAAGCAAATGAATTAAAGAAATCACTAACGTAGGAGTTTTTCTTTACTAACCTATAAGGCGTATTGCGGAGTTGTAAAATGCCGGATTCAGCCTGGAACTGGTGTCAGGGAAACATGCAAATGGGAATAGGGAACTGTAAAATGAATATTGGTAAGGAAACCCCTTATACCATATGACTGGTCCTGGAAGCTGCCATGCTGCTGGACACTCCACCTCCCAGCACACAGCCAACCAGGAAGAGGGGAACGCCTCTTCTATGACGTAAACAGGGTTGAACCTTAAGAGTGTTTAAAAAGTGGGACTTTTGAATTGGAGGGAGTGTTCCTGGGAATCCTGCGTGCCTAGGACACCCAACACGTGTTGTAATTAATTTTTCCTTTTTGTTTTATTCCTTTTGTTTTGCAAACTTTTGCCGTCTTTCTAAATTTAATAAAATGAGATTTTTCTGACATGTGACTGAGGAATCATCAGAGCATTGTGAGATATATCCCAGGAAACAAATGTGGATAAACACAATAAAGACCTCAGATCATTCTGAAGGAAACCCAAAATAAAATAGAACAGGCAAGACTTCCTGAATGCCTCAACATTTGTAAAGGGCCTTTAAGTGCTTCTTCAGGGTTATGGCAATGTTAGGAGCCTTGCTTGCAGAGGACTAGGGTTGTTCTCCTGTTAGTTCCTGTCTGGAAAATTGTCATGCATTAAACCCAGGAAGACATTTTGCAAGTAAGGTAGTGAACATATGCCTTTCTGAGGCAGAGCTGTGTCTTGGTGAGTAAAAATGTGTGTATGTGCACGTTTATGTCAAGTTGGCTGGAGTCATTATGGCTCTGTGATGCCTATCTCTAAACACCTCTTCTGGATTGTGTCAAACACTAATGAAAAAAGATAAAATAGTCTGTCTGAGAAACACATGTGAGACTGCTCACAGATTTGGCTGAAGTTTGCTGATGGTTATTGGGATGTGTGTAGGAAAAAGAAGAGTACAATAGAAAGAGCAAAGGTGTTTGTGGGAATTGTCATTCAAACCAGATTCCACATTGACATAGGAGATATGTGCCTCTGCTGTAATGAGGAAATTAAGCCAATAAGGAACGCATTCTCTCAGAAGGCTACAACACAAGCTTGTTTAGAATTGCCATTAAATTGTGGTACACTTCACAAAGAAATAGATGTGAACATTTCAGAAAGCAGTCATCAAGCACCTTGTTGTTTGCCAAGAAAAATAGGCAATTATGAACATTATGTCCAACTATGCATCATATCGACTCCAGTCAAAACCATTTAAATCCAGTCAAGCATTGCTTTCACACATAAAACCCTACCCAATGCTTGATTATACCTCAGCATACCAGGTATGCAGCCTAGGATGCTGGCCAATAAAAATATTCCATTGTCTAGGAATTTTAATCCATGCATCTATATTTATAAATGTCATAAATTTGATTGCAAAAGATTGTAATTATCAAACCCTTGCTGTTTTCACTTTTCTGTCCAAATTTGTTAAAAAGCCTTTGAAATCAAAAGCAAACAAATAAACAAAGTTTGATGAAAAGGGGCACTGTCAAGCTTTTAAGTGGAAAAACTGGACATAGAAAATAACTTAGCTTTTCTACAGTCCTTTACCCCTCCCCAGGTGATCTTGCCTCTCAGCAAAGTAAAATTATTACATGGAGAAAATGGTTTAGACTGCACATACCCAGACTGAGAAAAAATTGCTTCAATATAGATATATTAAAAACAAACAAACAAACAAAAAGGCTTTCAGGCACTTTTGTGGTCTCACAGAAACAATGAATTCTATTCCTCCTACTGCTCTGCTGAGGTAACTAATTAGCTTTTCCCCCCTCCCTTATAAAAGCCCTTTATATTGGAGACTTATTCTAAAAATGTGTCACTAGCTGGTATGCAAGCACCAGGTCGTCTCAGCAAGTGTCAGTAGCACTGGGAGTCTTAGCACAGTAGAGCAACCTGTGCTTTAACATTATGTCAATTTAACCTGCTGTGAGCATGCTATTGAATTTACAGCTCTGACAGACTAATTGAAGGAGGGCTCTCCATACTTACAGGAACTAGAACTGAGTCACTATTAGTAAACCCAGGAATTTTCTGCTTCCTAAAACAGCTGCTCAGGGGTTCAGCCTTCTGGGTCTATGCTGCTCAGCCATCCACTGGATGAGTATTTCCTTTCACCTTCTCCATCCCAATTTGCGCTTTTTTCCCTAGCACAGCTTTCAGTGGGAGACACTTGCCTGATTTCATTATAAACATGATGGCTAAAATATCACTGTCAAAAATCTTCCCAAGAACAATGTTGCTGTCAAACACTCCAGACAAACTGTGTGGTTAAACGCTTAACTCTTATGTACAATGATCACAGCTTAACTGAGAGCAAGATTTTATCACTACTGGTATTAAAAATGGCACGTACAATCCTAAACAGGAAAATGGAGGGATCAAGTAGATTTGGTCTGTCACTTCATGACTAGACATTCCAGGAATCTTTGAAAGACCTTTAGCCAGTGAAAAGACATGTACAGTAGCTGACAAAAAGTACTTTTTCAGATACTATCAAAGGTGAATCTGCACAGAGGGAGTTGATTTCATTTCATTGCAGCCAGTTTTGGAATGTACCTGCCAGAAACAGGAATGTTTCCTTCATTTAGCCTGATTTATCATTACAAGAACTAACAGAGCTCCTTCATAAACTACTGGAGCTCAGCTCTGGCACAGGTCCAGCAAAGTTATACAACTTACTTAACACCACAAAGAATATAATGCCTCTATTTACCCCTCAAATAATGCCCACCATTTTTCACGGCATTGTACCAAAATTCATGAATGAATTCTGACAACATGTAGGGACAAAAGGTATTTCTTTTTTCCAGCAGAATAAAGAGAATAGAAACTATATTTTGAAAGCCAACCATGACCCCAAAAGTTCAGTAGGTACCTAAGATACTGTATAGACCCTAAGCTGAATTTCTTGAAAGGAGTGGTAGGCACCTAAATACCTTTGCAATGTGCTGTCAATAGACAGCTGGGTTCTTAGGCAAAGATTTAGGCATGAGCCACTCCCTCTTCACACCCGCCTGTTGAATGACTTACACCTCTACCTAATTTAGTTGAGCACTATTCTTTCCTCCCCTTAGGGCCCAAGAGAATTTCCCTTGTTATTTGCCCTGTGTAGGAGCTCCACCTTCAAACATCTGTGGTCTAGCCATTTTCTGTAAGACTCTTTCGCTGTGGGTGCAGGGTAAATTGGTATCAAATTGGAACCTGGGTTAAACAGGTACCGTTGGCCACCTTTCACATGCTTTTTGTATATCGCGTGTGTGCACGCAAGGGGAATGTTAGTGTTATGCAAATGGTTATAATGTAATCCAATGCGTCAGTACTCCATGACTTTCTTGCGTTTAGCCTTGGTTTGCCCTCCATGCTTGACTCTGGCAACCTCACTATTTTTCTTCTTACCTTTATGCAGTAGCTGAGAATTTGCACTCAGAAAGATATCAAGGTACCTAAAAATTAAAGTTGTCTAAGTGCTTTTGATTTTAGCAGGAATTAGAAAACTAATTAAGAAAAGGATATTTGACTATGTTTGTAGATCTGAGTGTTGACAAATGGTTAACAGCCATCTCAGTTTGTGAGAAAAATAAAAGATTTATGAGTGGTTTTTTGAGCAATGTGATAAACTGCTACGAATGATGTGAGAATCCTACTATTAGTGCACAAGCATTAATCTGATTTCACTTTTCAGTGTTGAACTCTATTCATAAATACATTAAATGATCAGCAAACCAAACTCTGAATATTATATTAGTTCAAAGCACAAACTAGGCACAACATAAAAAAATGAACCTTGAGTGGTTTTTACTTGAACTTTGCATGTAACCATATTAAGATGCTGAATATTTCAAAGGCTGAAAGTATTTATAGCTTTTGACTTTTAACCATATTATATCCTTTGCCTTATTTCTTGTCCTCAGCAAATGTCAAGTGGGTGTTGTGTGGAACTGAGAGAGACCAATCTTGAGAGAACATCCGCCTTCAATAAGTGGAACTCCAGATTACACAAAGCTGCAGGCATAAAAGCAGCTACAAAAGAAAGTTCACTCTGAAAATGAAACAATTTTCTCTAGAAAAATGAACATGAAAGTTAAAGTAAGGACTTAACTGAAATAGTCATACTTTTAGAGAGTGTACTTTTTATCTAGCAGTATTTGCTACCAAATTAAATCTGTGATGCAGGTTTTAGTTTTAAAACTTTCTATTTCCTTTTCCTGGAGTTGACATATTTATACAAAAAAGCCAGTTGATATTCACTCTGCTTCTGAGAATTATGATCTACCTAGTAAGCTTGAATTTCTCTGTAAATTCAAGTCATTCTTTTAAGAAGAGCATATAAATGCTCTGGGCAGGATGTTTTTTCAGAAATGTAATTCAAGTCCAAGTGGCTGGGGTATCTGACTTATCTCATTATAGAAGAGACCAGAACCAGGGCTTGCTTTGTAATGTGTGTACAGAGTGCAGAGTGCAGGTGATGACTTGAGCTCTGAAAGTTTGTATTCTAAAACTCACACCCACACATTCTGAAAGCTCAGCCAGGTTTATCAAAAGGTTAGCTAAAGTTGTGAACCTTTCAGGTAAACCTATGGTTAGTTTTGAGTGAATATTGACTGATTTATAGTTACATGTATCTAACATGCTGAGGTTCAGCTTTTTTTCTTACTGTGTGACACTTGGAGTTATTTTGGTTTATTTAAGCCTAGAGTTCAAACTGAGTTTCATGAGAGACAACCCCCTAGAAACTAAACCCAAGGACACTGATAAAAATCTGAGGATGGAAATTGCTGAGTTGCAGGCAGGTCTGGATGTGGCAAAGCCTCCTTTTCAGCCTCTTTGCAATCCTGTAGTCTGCAATGAGAATACAACTGAGCTGTACTTAGGGCAGTTTTGACAGAGCGGAATGATTGAATTTTGGGAAGAGAAGGGCAGAAGAAGCAAACAAATACAGTTTTTTAAGATGAGACGCAAAATAGCTGTATATGCTCTACGTCATATAGTGAGATAAAGTTTCTTCCTAATTTCCCATGGCACAGTTCTATAGGAAAACTCAGGACACAGTACATCATCGGATCCAGGAAACGGAAACAATACGTTTAGGATATTCTTATGTCCTACTAAGCTTGGCTACAACAGCAAACAAAGCACAGGTGTGTAACTATAATGTGCAGCAGGCCCTGGCCAAGTGGCATCACTTGACAGTTTGTCTCCTCTCTTGGTGTAACTCCAAGTGGAGTGGCATGCTTGCTTTGGGCCTGGCTAGGGTATGAGAAGGTAGGTAGAGGGTCTATGTGGCCACACAGATGCTCTGAGAGATGCTGCACTGTGCTGGTTTTGCTTGCTTTGAACCCCTCACATAAACCTGTGTGTCTTCTGTGAAAGCTAAAGCAGGGCCTCTGTGAGTTATCTCTCCTACACAGCCAGCAGGAAGGCTGAACCTTCACCAGAGGCCAGCACAAAGCACCTTGGGTTCTGCTGCACAGGAAGGGGAGGGAGAACAGCATCCCTCTTTCCCTTCCCCCGTTCCTGGCCCCTGCTCCCCCACCTTCCCCCCACCACCACCCCCGAGACAAATGTATCTGGGCCTCCTGGAAAGTAAGAAATGCTCCCAGTTTTTGTAGCTTGACATAGTTTGGTTTTTATTGGCTTCTGCTCTGAATTGCCCTCTGGAGGAATCTGGCAGTGTCCCATGATAATATGCAGATCCCAGGGGAACCTGTGTTTCTACCTAAGTATACAAGTAACATGAGAGCCGGTCTCACTATCCTCCATTGCTTAGTCTGTTACATAGCTTTGCATAATTTTGTTGCACTACTTAAGTAGATTACACAGATAATAATAACTTTGAAGTCAGGTGTGACAACTTTCAGACTAAATTCCAACTTCATGTCCTGTACTCTGATCAGTCTATAAAAGGCAGAAGTGAATATATACACAATATGGAGTCTATTGTTTCCTGTCATCTGGAGTACGATTTTTATTGTTCTAGGTGATTACTTTTTATGTCTAGCTTGAAATAGAGTTCTTATAATTGTATTGTTTACTTCTCTGGAGAAACCAGTTTGTTTTCCTATTCTCTTTTGAAATTTAATTCATTCCTTCATGAACAGTTAGGAGCTGAATAGAAAAGGTCTGCTTAGGGGCCAGATTCTTCTGACTGTATAAATATAAAGGTTCCCACAGTCTAAATATGATGCTTCTGCTTCCCTACAGCAGCATCAAAACGTAAAGATAAGAAGCAGCCAGCACATAGAGAAAATAATTACTAATTATTAAATAACTACTACTACTAAATCAAGTACTTTATAAGAAAAATAAGCTGACCCTATGACAATCTCTTCTTGGTAACTGTTAGTACAGATAAAGGACAGAGATGGGGCTAAATATTTTATTAAGAGAGTTATAAAAACAGCTAGCAGATAGTTAAATGATGACATTATCTTTCACGGGATGAACAAATGTCAGGTGTATAATGGAATGAAAACCAGCTATGTTTCAACCAGGGTTTAAATATTTGGAAATGAACACCTTCAGTATTTTCTTAATGTGCTTTGTTAATTAAGTCAGTGGGATGTGTGCTCCCAAGTCCCTCAGGCGTTACTGAAAGTGTGTCCCCCTAAGTCAGGCTGACAAAAATTATTTCTGTGATTCAAAAGGCATACTAAATCTTACCCCATGATTTAAGAACTCTGTTAGTTATTTAAAGCTACAAAACTAAATAACAGTATATGCCCCAGCTCTCTACACCATTCTTCTTTCTGTCCATCTCAAATGTCTGTTAAAACAAGGAGGTCTACAGGTCTACCTCAAAGGCACCATGTCTGAGATACTTAGCCCAAAGGCATGGAGTGACAGCAGGGTGGGTGGCACAGGGTGTTGTGGGAGATGCAGGGGTGTGTGGTGAGGCTGAGATGGGGCAGGCTTTCCACTTTTGGGCTGAAGGCTGAGGAAGTGCTAAATAGGGCACTGTAAAGGACTGTGGGTTGAATGTGGTACATGATGGCACCAGGAGAGGCATAATGAGGGCGAACCTTAACAGTGTGGAGATAGTTTAAAGTATGGGCATAGGTGAGTTTTACCAGCTGGAGAGGTTTTCACTGGGTGTTAACAGACGTAGCTCAGACCTTTCAAAGAAGTCCTATGCAAATAGGAAGCTTCTGACTGCAATGGAAGGATCATTGAGCATAAGTAGATGTTTGCTATTCTTGCAAAACTGTGTACTGAAAACTCAGTGCTGTTTCTGACGCATGGGCTGGATGGTGAGTCCATACAGGACTCTGAGGGCACAGGTAATGTCAAGTCCCATTTAAAAATCCCTGAGCTCTTGAATATGGCAATTTGGTTGCATTTTTCATTCTGTGATTCTGTATCACATTCTATTTGGTCAAGTCAAAATATTTGGATGGACTGTGATCTCTGTCACAGAAACTAATAGAGTGACTAACAGCTCTAAGATTGTCAGACAGTGTGAATTTGAGATAGAATAATCATGGCTAGGCTTCGCGCACGAAGATTTGGGTATAGAATAATAGAAACACAGAAAAAAAAATAGCTGATTATGACATGAGGTGCTATAATCATGGCTCCTTTTTTTCTTTATTGCAGCAGCCATCCTCACCCTTGCCTGGAAGATCTGAGAAAGGAGGTGGAGAGAAAAGTGTCCACTCTTTGGTCTCTGCACTGGGTTGAGATGTGGGAGGGGGACTAAGAATCAGGAATTAGATTTTGGGACTTCAAACCATGACAGTGACAATCATTGTAGGTGGGGGACCACTATATCAACTAATAGAAGTGCCTGAAAATGTTCCCAGGCTCTGCTGCTGGACCAGAAAACAAAACATGTTCCTGCTAATAAATTCCATCATTCGCTGTAACTAGATGGCTGTGTGAAAAAGTGCCTGTTGGAAATGATCCTGGGAATATTTGTACTCCCAAGCTGGTTTGGGATTTTTTTGTATGAGTGCTGGATGGCATGTGTGCCAAAAGTGTGCCAGGAAATAGTTTGACAATTTAGGGATTGCCTAGATTAGGAAAAAGGCCCAATAAGAACAGATCCATGGCAGAAAACATCTGGTGCATCCACACTGACATTCAAAGCCTTTGTATTTCAGAGAGTTTTACTGTTTCCTAACTCTAGCCCACTCCCGCAGACAGAATGTCCATTAGCAGTCAAAGTGCATTAGATGCCCTCTGAGACTGCTCCTCCAGGTTTATTTTTATCTGAAAGGAATTCATTTTGCACATTCCAAACACGATGTGAACCAAAGTGCAGGAAGTGGGAACTACTGGGAGATTTACTTCAGTAGTGCATCCTGATCTGAACTATAATGCTACCTCACATACACTCGGAGGCAACTGCGTCCCACTGTTTGAGAACATTCCCAATCACAGTTTAATTTACCAGTTCATCCAGTTCAATTGCACATAAAAATTGTGTGAGGCTTTGGCATGTTAAGTGGAAATTGGATTTAAAATTTTATTGCTAAAATTGAGTAAATCTCTGCTGAATGTTTGAACTGTCATTCTTAGAGTGCCTAGAATAAATTTGAGAAAGTTTGCAAGTGGATGCAAAAGCACAACTGTTATATATAGACTGTGTTCATGAAGTGTTTTAAATGTGTCTCGCTAGTGTATCTGAGAAAAGAGGAGGGAGAGAGAGGGAGAGTGTCTGAATGTTAAAGGGAAAGAGAAAGGCCTAAAGAGTATTTTTTCTTCTTATAGATTAGAAAAATCTTCACAGTAAATTTACAGCCAAAATTTCCAGTCCTGACTAAAGCAAGTGATGTTTGGCGTGCTGTATCTGCAGGTCGTGAGCTTTAATTACATCACATTATCTTTCACTGTAAGATCTGGACTGCAGTTGCCTTTAGGTTGGAATCCAAACTGATAAAGAGCTTTTTATCACTACACAGTACATCAGACATAGTTTGTAAGGAACAGATAGTCATCTGCTCTACCAACCTGCCTATTCTAGTTGAAGTTGCCTCCAGGGAATAGATACCAGAAACTTCACATTTAGATCACTTAAAAAGAAAGATTCCTGGCAAATAGGATGGCATAAGTGGTATTTAGAGAAAAGCTGTGTAATATAGTACCTAAATAATTTTATAGTCCTACTGCTATTTTAGTATGCTGGTAGGATATCTGAACCACTTGCTCTTGACTTGTACCTTGTTAGTAATGATGTTATGCATAATGCAGCAAAGGAATTCTTCATTCCTGAGCAGGGGAACAGAAGTGAACAGAAGTGCCTTTTACAACTCATCTCTTATGGATCAAAGGAAACGTCAAGCTTGCCTTATCATGTAAGCGAGTTTAGCGTCCTTGAGCTTTGCTGTTACAGTTACACATGCTTAGCCCATAGTTTTTGCTATGTTTGCATTAACTGAAATTGTACGTTTATGGATTGCACAGACTTGATTTCTGCTGGTGGATGTTCAGTGTGTCTATTAAAATTACATATTTTCAGAACTTACTGTGAAATATATGCAGAAATTATTAAAAAATATGAAGATATTTATTTTGGGCTAAAATAATCTAAAACAACCCCAAACCCAATTAATTTCAAAAATAGTCTGTGAGGGGAAAGATTAGAGGAAAAGAAAACCCCAATAACTGGAAAATTTTTCTTTTTGTGTACACATATTACCATTTTATTTTAGTAGTGTTTGTGTTTTCTGTATTTGTAAAACATAACTTAAAAACAGTATAGATGTAAGGGCTGGAAGCTGGGAAATGAAACCTTACTGTGGTCATACTGTTAAAATGAATGAGGTATTTTGTTGCTAACTACACATGTTTCTGTCTGATGTGTTTTATAGCTTCATTGTATATTGTGTATTTGAAGTACAAATCATATAAGTGATAGAATAACTGCTTTACGGTGTTAACCAATCCCCTAAATGCTGTTCTAAAAACAAACAAACAAAAGGCACTGTAATGTTTGACCTTAATGCCTTTTGGTGGGGATCTAGTACATTATGGGTCTGAACAGCATTGCTTGTCTCATGTAGATTTCAAGGTTTTTAGGGCAAAGTGTATGTTCCATCTGGGTTTTGTGTCTTGCTGAGCAGTTTGAAAGTTTCTACTAAATCATAATAATTAGAACAGCAAAAACTGCAATTGGTGTCTTTGAGAAAAAAATGTCTCATGAAGCTTCTCCCATTTAACAATCAATACACACTTTCTTAATTGAAGAGAGCCATATTAGCCAAGAAACTTCTTATTCCTACTCATGCATTTACCCCTTCCCATCAAATCTATATCGTACTCTTGTTGTGGGAAAACGGTTTACCTGGTTGGGTGGTTGTGCTGCTCTTGGCCTCGTAGCTTTCAAGCCTGCAGCTATTATTTTTTTGCTGCTTCAGTACTTCTTCAAAAGAATGCTCATTTTCCAGGAAAGAATGCCATAAAAAGGATCCTGAAAATGCACTCTGGATGTATTTATGTATTCAACTATATTCTACTTTCATCTCTTGTTTTTTGTAAAGCAGAAAGGTAGAAGCCAGTTTTCATCCCAAAGCCATGTAGTTACGTAAGAAACTCAGGTAGAATTGAGGTATCAGGACTTGCATTAAAAATATGGATCCCAAAGAGCTTTGGGGCTGGAGCTGGCATTCTTCCTACTGGATTTGGACCCTTGGGCAGAAATAGTGTGTGACTGACTACGTAGAGATTCCTCATGACTGGCTTACTGTGCTGGTGCCAGCTTTCTATCAACTTTCAAGTCTCTTCCCCGGTGACAGAGCTCTGGGTTTTGGTGCTGAAATTGTGGTATTCTCTTCTTTCATGGTGCTTAGAAAAGAAACAGTGGTTGCCTACCTAGGTGCTGATGTTACATATTTACTTAACATTGCCAAAATTGGTGAGAAAAAGAGAATCTTCAGTGGGAAAACTATACTGGCAGTAAGCTTTGTTTATAACAGTAAATCAGTTTTTGTCTTACCAGTGTGTGCTGTCTGGTTTTCTTTTTCTGTAAGCTTAAAGAGGCAGAGGTGACTAATAGAAAGTGCAGAGTAAGTTTTAGCTCTCATCTAGAATAAAATGGCCCAGATCTTGGTTAATTTTGTCCATGGATAGCCTATTTGTTCTTTCTTGAAGTCTGTTTGTTCTTTCCTTCACTTGACTGTGCTGGGGGTTTGAACCTGTGAGCAAAAATATCTTTAAAGTAACTTCTAAGTCTTATTTTGGCACTCAGCTACTCAGGCTTTCCTTTGAACACTACCCCTCTTTGTACCAATAGGAATACTCCTTATATGGTTGTGTTCTGGCATCACTAACACTTCTGTGACTTTTTTTGTTGGCAGAACACAGCCAAGATTTCCCCTTCACTCCCCAAAGAACTATGCAAAACCCCTCCAAGTTTTCATTTGCTTATTTGTTTGGGTTTTTTTTAAAGTCTACTGAACATGTTCGGGCTGGCATAAACATGGGGATGCTACAAACACCTGACTGGTTAAGGAAAATGTCTGGGCTGGCATAAATGAAATATGGTGCATAATTTGGGTCAGAAGTCTACAGACTTCATGGTATAGAAGTGGTGACAGCAGCAGCAGTCCCTCTCAGCTATTTACAGGAGCAGGAGAAGGCATATAACTGTTTACCCAAAATTCGTGTATACTGCAGTCTGAGAAACTGTGGACTAGATGTTTTACTTAGAGGTTTCTCATTTATGCATTTCTTCAACCTGATCTAAAAGTCTTGGTATGTGTGTGAATATATATATTTATATATACATACAAACAATATTCTCTGAGCTACCCACTAAATGTTCAAACAGATCATAAATCTTCTCTTAAAAAAATAATTTCCTTTCTTAATAACTTCCCCATAAAATAGTTACACAGAATTTCTCTATGTGGATGCAGAAAATAAACTACATTGTGATGTCTCTGTAGACTTAGATCTGCTTTGCACAAAAACGAGCTCAACTCTTTCATATATAAAATACTCCAACATACATACTAGACATTCACTATTCATTTTCTTTTCAGGGCAAGGAGTGAATGCATCCTGTAGTTCTGTGTTCAAGTGTTTGAGAGGTGCTTAATATTAAATTTTAATAACATAGGTTCAACAATTATCATTACTTTACAATACATTGAATCCAAAGACTTTGGTGCAGGATCTGGTAGAGTGCTATTTACATTCTTGGCACCTGTTGTGGTCTTAAATCTTTTTGACTTTGGCCATAAATTGATTGAAGAGTACTGCAGAGGAACATAAAGTGTATTGAATTCAGGGTTTTCCACTGTTACTGATTATGGGAACAGCAACTCCAGTGATAATTAGGCCCAAATAAATTAAGTTCTTGGTGGATTCCATGGTGTTTCTCTTCAGGAATTAAAGCCTTGACCTGCTCTGATAAGAGATATCCCTCCTTCCCTCATCCTCCCTGCCAAGGATAAATGTCAAATCAGTTATAAGCTTTTATGCCTGAAATTAGGTATGAAATTGCTCTCTTCTTTACATGATTAATGCTATAAACTTCAGGAGCAGTACTGAAGTAGTGGGTGAGCTGGATTTTTCTGTGTATGTATGCGCTCTGTGTTGTGCATGATAGATAGGTGCCATCTCTTTTAGCCTCTGTATTATTTTATTCTTTTCCTGAAGTGTCTCTCTTTGTCTGAGAATCAGTTATAGCAGGAATCAGATGTGCCATCTCTATAGCAGCTGCTATTGTCACTTCATCATCTCTCCAACTTCAAAAATGTACATAATGTAAGGTAACCTTAAACTGTGCTTTAAAAGGTAATGTACATGTGCCTGTACTATTTTTAAAGATATTTCCTTTGTGAAAGAAACAGATTGAGCACCTGCTTTCATTGATATAAGATATAGTCTTTTCACTCATTTCAATGAGAAAAGTGTTGGGCCCATGATATAATTTGATGACTTGATTGTGAAGTCACTGTCACTGGACCTGAGTCCACCGACTGTGTACCAGTGACTGTTGCAAATGGACAATCACACTTATTTCACATAAAGAATGTAACAGAGTGGCTGATAGAGCTGGGTTGTTTAGCCTGGAGAAAAGGAGGCTCAGGGGAGACCTCATAATTCTCTACAACTTCCTGAAAGGAGGTTGTGACGAGGTGGGGTCGGCCTCTTCTCCCAGGCAACTAGTAACAGGACAAGAAGAAATGGCCTCAGGCTGTGCCAGGGAAGGTTCAGGTAGGACTTCAGGAAGAATTTCTTCACTGAAAGGGTTGTTAAGTGTTGGAGCAGGCTGTCCAGGGAAGTGGTGGAGTCACCATCTGTGGAAGTGTTCAAAAAACAATTAGATGGGCCACTTAGAGCTATGGTTTAGTTGATATGGTGTGGTGTGGGACTCCATGATCTTGGAGGTCTCCAGATTCAATGATTCAATTATTCTGTGTGGGAGAAGGTAAGGGGGAAGTTCTGCATTATAATATAATATTTTGTCTTATTTTTAATACCAGTTATTTGCACTTTGAAAATTACTCCATGAATCGTGAGTGATTGCAGTGAAAGTCAGTAAGACTGGTGCCTGATCATGCTGAGTTCCTGAATATAGACCCGATCCCAGGTTTATTCAAGTCTTTTGGAATTTTTTCATGCATCATGAATACAGAGTTGATCTCACCCTGCATCAGGAATCTCTTATTTCCCCAATTAGTACCAAGGTTTGAAATTTACCATGTACAGAGGGGTAACACAGAATTTAAGCACAAATAACTATTGGAGCTTAGGTGGGAAGAAAATGATGCAGAGGCCTTTTGTTGGACTAATGTGTGGAGGAAATTGCTGTGAGGGTGAACCTTTATCTATTTTTTCCTGTCTTCCCATAGTTTTTCTACATCTTTCTGGGTAGCATTATCATTTTATTAATCAAAAAATTGAATATTTTTAAATACATTTTATCTTTCACTCACATGTTGGAACTTCTGTAATCTAATCTTGATTAAAAAAAAAGATAATGAACAGCATGTGGTGGTGGATTCTTATAAACCAAATTTGTATCTCAAAACCTTTTTTGCAGATTTCTGATTTACTGTTATAAGACATTATTACTATTTCTAGTCCTGTTGATAAAAAATTTCTTCTTTTCCATGAAGGCAAAACGCAATTTGCAAATGTACTTAAAAACCAGCTATCATATTAAATGAGATCCCTACACAATGAAAGTTGATTTCATGCTGTCCCATGACTCAAGTAATTATTATTTCTGCAAATATTTATACTTGGTCATCATGGTTACCACAAGATGCCTTCTTGCATAATCTGATGTTTAGTATCTTGTAGTCTAAAATAAATATTTTTACTTAAAAGGAAGGTAAAATCAAGGCAAAGACTCTTAAAACCTTGGAATAGCAAAACTAGTTTTAAACCAGCTTTTGTCCCTCCTTCTCTTCAATCCACTAGCAACTCAACTTTCACGCTATTCAGGGAGCTTTCTTTTGTGAATGGCTTAGGTTTGTCAATTAGCATGAGAATGCTCCCTCCTTGCATATTGTCAAAATCACCATCTAAGGAAGCCCAGGCTTGCAAAATTACAAAAACGTGCACAAATGGTGATTTACT